GTGGGAAGATGACAAGCTTCAAATACATCCTAACTGGTTACAAGTATTCTTTAAAAAGTTACATATGGAGGCACAATCAATACCAGAGGTCCTTGCTGAGGTCACAAGTTGTTGTGAAGATGAAAATTGTAAGAACCAAATTTTGTGAAAGAAGGAAACCTGGGAACTAACTTAGCAAAACAGTAAAAATCATCACTGTTGCAAAGACTGGAATATTGCAGTAAGACTGGCATTTAGTTTTACCATTCCAGCAGAGATAACATTAATTGCTCAATGTTCTCATCTTTCAATCTATTTGAGTAAGTTTATATCATTGAATTAATGTGGGTTTTTTTTCCTCTTTAATATTTTTAATCATTTCACCCAAAGTAAGACAATAAAGCCACTAAGATGCAAGTGGTTACTGAGGATGAAAGACAATAGTGTGAAGAAAACTGAGAAAATGTTACAGAGGAGAAAGAACAATAAAAGGAACGGGATTCATAAAGACAAAAAATAACAATTAACATTGCACTTCGATTTTTGAAGATTGTAGTTGACAGAAAAGCAAGAGAAATAAAGATTGTTCCACAGGCAAGAAGTGCAAGAGAAGAAACTATCAGAATAGAACTTACAGTTTCATCTAGCTATTTCAATGGGAAAATGATGAGACTTAGATGCCAATCTAGTACTGTGCTTAAATTCATTAAATTAAATGAAATCAAAGTACCAAAGAAGAAAGTTCATCAGAACAACTACCATGAATATATTTATAGCAAAGACACAAGGAAACTATGTTACAGCAGTGGGGTGATTGAAGCTGAGATGCCAGATCAGAGCCAATAACATTGCAGATTATTCTTTGAATTATATCCAGAACCTCTAGATAAATAGTCGAAGCACCAGACCAAATGTGGCATCAAAAGTCAAAGATAGATTTGGATGAAAAAAATTGCTTAGTACAACACAGTGAATTTTTAGCAGTGAACTTATCAACTGATTTAATATAATCATCCCACTTCATATCAGTAGAAAACAGACTGAGAAGACACAAGGAGTTATTCTCCTGGAGGTTGACATTAGCTATACTGATGGAAGGCAAAAAGAATTCTATGGCAATTAAAAGAGAGCATTTCAGTTTTGGAGGTGTTAAAATTAACAAGCCATTTCTTGCCCCAGTTAACAATAGATTGGATGTCATTTTGCAAGCAACTAGAAATTTAATTTTATTGAACCTATCAGACTATTATGATAAGAGTAAATAATTGTGTCATCAGCATAGAGACACAATCAAGAACTGATGACCCTAAGAAATTCACTGATAAAAAATAAGGAACAAAATGTCTGGAGATAGAGCCTTAGAGGGATACCATTAACAGAGCAATGTGCATATCATACAACAGAGACTCATTTCTAAGTGGAAAGTCAGACAAAGCTACTCCATATGAGTCAAGGGTATAACTAAAAGAGATTGATTTGCTTTTTTTTTTTGTCATTTTTTTTTTTTTTTTTGCCTTAACCAGGTATTGAACTCCCACTTTTTGGGTCCTGTCACTGGATCTAATCAACGCCTTTATCCACTGTGCCATGTGTCCTTAAAGCAGTGGAGAACTTTCAGAGGGAAATTAACAGGAGATAACTGACATCCATTAAAAACATGGCACACTGAACTACAACAGTCTACCCCAGTGAGTGAAATAAAAGATTAAGTTCGACATTCCAACCACCTGAAGAAGGCCGGAGCGTACAACAGGTGAAACATTGTAATAAATATGGCAACAAAGATGAGGACAATAGTCCGAATAACGTAAATAATGAACTTAACATGATCATCATTAAAATAACCAAATACAAAAATGTTCGCAGATGAATGTAGAGAGCACACCATTTCAATACTATCAGATATTTTGTATAATATGAAAGAATCATCCAAAGCCTCATTAGAAGATCCTACTCTTGAATATGAACACTAAGGTCACACATCAGTACTATAGAATCATCATTTCAACAAGGAGAAATGTAGCCTGGAACAGAGAATTAACTGGTAGGGATAGAAGAGTTTAAGTTAGTTTCATAGAGCACTAAGATACCTGAAGAACATCTCAAGAGAAATGATTCTACAATAAAGAAAATTGGTGAACCCTATGAATATTGGAAAAAAGTAAAGTGAGGGGCTTAGATGATTTTTTACTGATTTACTTTTATTACTTTTAATGGCAACTGTCATGAGAAAGTTTTTATGGTAAAAACAACCAAAATAATTGTTGCTGTCCATTGTTTAAGGCAATAGAAACTGGCCAGATGATGGCTAAGACTAAAGCTTAATGCAGTCTTAGGTTTGCCTACAAAAAGTACTGGCAGGGACACTTATCCATTTACGATATGACACTGCAAATTACCCCAATATTACATAAAAAGGCAGCTCTGGTCAACAGTTAAGTGTTGCCGAAGTGTTTGGGCTCCTTGCTACCAGTCGGTATGCAACAACCAGAAAACAGCCAATAAAAAGTTGCAATCACTAATCAGTCAGATCATCAAAAGGTTAAAAAGACAATGAAAATCATTAAGGCCACAGAAGAAAGGAAATAGAAAACTATATCCTAAACAGGAAAAAAATATAAACCTCTATTTTGTATTGACTGGGTACATTTTGAAAAATACAAAATGACTGTTGAGGTTTTTATTGCTAAAACAACCATAGTATACTTGAATATACTCGGATTTTCATCAACAGAAAAGTAGGAATATAGTGAGGTTCCAAGATCAGGTCAAGGCAGCATCTGCATGGATCTAGCATCCCTACATTGTGAGGCTGAGCTTTCCTCTTTGAAATCGCAACATCACAAATTTAGCTGAAACACTAGATTGGCAGCTGAGTCTCAATTTCACTGTTCAATTTGCTAATTGTAACCATACATTCTATACTGATAGTTTCTTCTTCAGCAATTCTTGCTTGTGGAATTTTCTTCCAGCTTAGCTGTCAACTATGATCTTCAAAAATTTAAATGCAATATTAATAGTCATCTTCTGTCTTCTTGGATCTTTTTTCTTTTCTTTTTATTTTTAATGTCCTCTTCGTTTCTTTCACACTCAGTAACCCCTTATATCTTTAGTGGCTTTATTGCCTTGCTCGGAGGGAAATGATTGAAGAAAAAAAAGTCTCTTGGTATTATGATGTATCACTGAAGTGCCATGTGTTAGTGGCAATGATGCTTCAAATCCCGCCCCCCCCCCAAAAAAAAAGACATGCTTCATCATAAAATAATCATTTGATAGAGACTTTGTTGGTGGTGGTGTTGTTTTATTAGTAGGAGTTATATGAATAATAATTATGTAAGTTTGAGGAAATCAATGCTTTCATATAGATTTCCTATTACAAACCAAGTGATTGCTTACATTTTCTGATCATTTATTGATATCTATTTTCTTATACAGGATAAGAGAATTTTATCTTTCTAATCAATGAATGAAATTTTCCTAAACACACAATTCAATCTATCAAGAATTCATAAAAGAATTGACTTTTAAACATTTTGTTTAAAGCCAATAAGTGCTTTCTGTGAACAATTCAAGTAGAACAGGCAAGTAGGACTCATTTTCTATCAGTTTGCAGATTTTTAAAAATAACTGGAAGTGTCAGGGTAATAATATTATTACAAAGCCTTACAAAACATTAAAGATTTTACAAGTATAAAAGGTGGTATGAATTTTTTCTAGACTATAATAGTCCAGTGACTACAAACAGTTCTTGTGGTTGGTTCTGATAATACATCAATATTAATAGCATGAAAGAATACTTAGTACTTGCTTTATCAAAATGAAATATCATTAAAAGAAAATGAAAATGTGATATTTAATCTTCCAAAACTGGAAAGAAAAATCTGAAATCTTAAAATTTATTTTTCCCAACAACATGATTAGATTCCCAAAACTATAATTTAATAGCAGTATCTGTGAAAATTTCACAAATTTCCTATATTTTGAATTTCTGATTAATCAATTCAGAATTCAATGACTGAATAAGCTCCTTGTGAGTCCTACAACTTTAAAATATTTGCAATCATAAGTATAAATGTAAGCCATTAAAGAAGTAAGAGAGTACAAATGAAAAGATTCAAATCTAACAAGGTTTTCCAGTTCACAGAAGCAGATATTAAATGATTAATGTACATGAAAGTGCTATCACCTCCTCTCTTTCCTTTCTTGTATGCTTTTACTCACAAAAAAAATCAGTGAGTGATATTTTTTTCTTCTGTCTTTCCTCACAAGCAAAACAGAATGGTCCATTATTTATCTGAGGTAATGGCAGGACCATAGCATATTCTAACTAATCAAAGGAACAAGCAGAATTATATAATGAAAATTAGGCTTTGCATACAAATCAGATCCATAGTGTCAACAACCAAATGGCAAAAAGAAATGCCCCAAGTTGATGTTGTGCTTATGAATAAAGAACTAAAACTGGGAGTTTAATCAGCTGAATCTTTGAATGATTAGCAAGAATCTAAATAAAACCTGCTTATGCCTAAGCTGGTCGAAAACTTATAAAAAATGACAAATCTCAGTAAATAATACCAATTAAGGGAAACATGAAGAATTCATCTCAAAGTAAATCTTGATTTCATTTTTAACAACTTAATTTATCTAAAACTTTAAAAGCCACAATAACTGGACAGTACTTCTAATAAACTGGTCGTACCAAGAGCAGTTGTCATTTTCATTACCTGTAATCTGTTTGCAAATTCCTATGAGACCCAAAGAGCTGTAATACCAAAGCTTGAACTTTACCCTGCATCACAAGTCATCATGTCACACTGTACAAGAGATTAGAGTAAGAGAAGAACAACAGTTGTATAGCAATGTTTGATTGAAAGAGACACGCAAAGTCTACGCAGCTGGGTTTCACATTGAGAGTAACTATGTGGTTACAACAATGAAAACTAAAATGTTGAAATTTTATCAAGATACAAAACAGAGACACAACAACCCAAATATGAAAAGAAATCACAAAATCAGCTTACCTGTTAGAGTCAGATTATCCCCACCAGATTTTATGAGGTCCACTACTTGTCTATGAGTAGCACCTTCCACATTGACACCGTTCCTGAAACATAAATATTTAATAATCAAAATTTTATTTCAATTAAAAAAAAAAAAAAAAAAAATCAATAAACTGGTTTGATTTGTAAATTCCATTATTATTTGCATGCAGTCATAAGGCTCCCATAGAATGACAAAAATTGGAATTGTGTAATTTGAATCATTGAAGAAAGAGTTCTAAAAAAAAAAAAAAAAAATAGAAGCAAGAAAAAAATTTGTGGGTAGCAAATTTTTGCAAAGGAATCAACATGACCTTCTTTGACAAAAAACAAACTCAAGAAACCAGGAAGCAATTGTATAATTAACAGTGAACTTTGTGCAATTACATTGAATACTTCACCTATATTATTGTAGGTTTACTCCATTAACATCAAATACTTTTTCTTTTTATAGCATTAAATAAAATATGATTAAAGAAAATTTTAATCTCTGCAGATGTCACTAAATTGACAAGAATTTTTTTTAGCACACTGTCAAAAGGATTTGATAAAAAGTATGTGTATTTCTTGGGGGACAACTTGGCAGTTAGTTCATTCAACATCAGATAAGGCGAAATAGTTTACAAAATATTTTGAAAAATATTCATACTTGTTACATATATTTTTTTTTTAATACAAAAATCAAATTTTTATTTCAAACCAACAGTTCCCAACAAATGTGTTGTCTTCACCCACAAAAATAAAAAATTATCACAAATGTTTTTTTTGTTTTTTTATATTGTACCAATTTCACATGGTGATTAAGCTATGTTTCATATAAGGAGGTGCTGAAAAATTCTTGGGTCAACCAAGAAAACATATCTTGAGGTTTGGTCACTTAGTTAGAATTTAGAATTGGAATATGAGGGAATGTGATATTACATATTCTGTTTATAAACTTATTTAAATTATAATTGAAAACACATCCTACAAGCAGAGTTTTAAGATAGCTTTCAAAAAAAAAAAAAAAAAAAAAAAATCTAATATGGAGCCTTTGAACCCAATATCCGATCATAAATCTCAACTATCACATTGTTTCCACTCATCAAGTGCATCTTCATTAGAATAAACAATAATGATCAATGGGAAAAAGGGGGTGGAGGTTAATGAGTCAGATTTCAGATTTATAGAAATCAGTAAATTTTTAGTTCAGGTGTAGGAAGGTAGCTATGAAATAGAAAGAAAAAATAATGATAAAAGGTATAAATCTTGAATATGTGGATGGATACTGTCACTTGGGGCAGCTTTAAAGAAAAATATTTAAAGAGAAATATAAAGTTTCTTTTTCCAATATTTTAAATGATTAAACTTTAGTTGGATATATTTTCTGGATCCAATTTAAAGTATAAAGTTGTCATTTCAGAAGGATAAAATGTTTGTAGTGTCACAAACAGGTTCTCTAACCATTTGAAGATAGGAATAATACCAGTGAGAGAAATTGTAATGTTGCTAAGAACGACAAGATTTAAAAAAGAAAAAAAAAAAGTACAGAAAAGATGTTTTGAAACTTGAAACTATGGGCAAAATATGATTCAAAGTGAAAAGTTTTGTTTTTTTTATTGAGTAAAAAAAAAAAAAAAAAAAAAAAAAAAAAAAAAAAAAAAAAAAAAAAAAAAAAAAAAAAAAAAAAAAAAGGAAAACACTTAAAACTATTAACTGAAGACGAAACAATTTGAAAGAAGAAGAAAATGACATTTACTCAAGTAAAAGGAAGCGAACAATAGAAAAGGTGAATATTTTGAGTGAAAGTCTGGCCTCCATACAAATAATATCGTTTGTGTAGAAGCAATGAGAAAGGGAAAAAAAAAAATCAGGGCCAAGTTTTACCAATTGTTTCTCCAACTGAAATACCATTAAAAGCTTCTAATCACCTGACACATGCTTTCTACGCCCCCCCCCTTTCTTTTTTTTATTTATTTTATTTTTTCTTCTGAGTGACACATATGACTAATACTATTTTCCCTTCATCAGCAGGTACCATTGACAATTATTGAAATGACTGGAAACAAATAAAGTCAAATCTGTTCTTATCATTTATCTTCCAATGAATGTTATGTACAAACAGATATTATCTTTCTTTTAAAAAGAAATACTTTTGCAAACAAAATTATTTAGATTACAAATGTACAATGCAAAAAACAGAAATATATATGTCAAAACAATTTGCTTGCAAGAAATAGATGATGCCTTTCACTTAAATGACAAATCTAATTTCTGATTATTACCAGACAGCCTAAATAGCAAAGCCATAAAGTGATTGACAGTGAAATGGTCCCAGTAAATGATGCTAGACAAGACGGAAATATCTGATATCATTAAAACTAAAATAAATCTTATTTTTTATTGGTTTTTCATTTTCGTTTTTTTAAGCTAGCTGCTCCTTGGAAAGTATAAGTTTGTGCAAAAAGTTTTCACCAAGTTTTTATTAATATTACTTGCATATGTTGACTTTCTATGACCTTATACCAAGTTCCATCTTAATGAAATCCACCTGTTTTTGTGGAAAGTTACTTCACATAAAGTACAAAATGAAGGATTGTAAAACAGTTTTACTGGAAATATTGAGACAAGAAGGAGAACAGAGATATTACGAACAAAAACTTGAAAAACTTGTAGAATTGTGGGTAGAACGACAACAGAAAATGTTAACAAGTAATAAGAATGAATATTCAGAGGACATTACCATAAATGCAACAGCAGAATTTCATTATATGCCAGAAGAGGAGGTAACTTTTTCATCATCTTTCCATAGATATGAAGACCTTTACAAAATGGACTGTTCAAATTGGTCCAACCAGAAAAAGGTCAGACTAGTGCTAAGGGAACTAGGCACTGTCAAACACACAAAGTTTGTTAATTACATATTACTGAAGAAAACTACGACCTAACATTTAAAAGAATGGTTACTGTGCTTTTGGAAGTTTTCAGCCCAAAGACATCGTTGTTCCATAAAAGATGGAAATGTATGAACTTAATAAAAAAGAAAGATAATGATTTCACAATGTTCACGAGCATTGTGAACGATCAGTATGAGAAGTTCAAACTGGCTGAATTAAGCCCTGACAATTTTAAATGACTGATATTTGTTGACAAAAGACGCTGAAATCAGAAGGGTTTTAAATAAACTGGAAAACGAACTCAATCTAGCTTTACAAAACCTAGCACAATATTGTCGGAGGTTTGTAAATGTTCGACAAGATGCCAAAGATATTGAAGTGTGCTGCACATTAAAAAAATGCATCAAGAAAATAAAGTGAAGAAAATAAAGTGAAGAAAATAAAGTGAAGAAAATAAAGTGAAGAAAATAAAGTGAAGAAAATAAAGTGAAGAAAATAAAGTGAAGAAAATAAAGTGAAGAAAAAACAACATTACTCCTAACCCTTGTTATACATGTGGAGAATTACATTGGTATAAAGACTGTCCATACAAAAATAAAGAATGATTTTGGTGCAGGAAAAAGGACATAAGAAAACCCACTGTAAGACAAAAGTAAAAAGACTAGTGAGGAATTACATTAAAGTTACAAATATGGATGAATCTGACAGTTGAAATATAAGGAAATTTGTGCAGGTAAAAATCCTTAACAAAAATATCAAATTACAATTGGATAGCAGATCAGGTTTAAGCATAATAAATGTGTACATTTGGAGAAAAATACGTAAACCAACATTAATATTAATGGTTACCAAGAAAATCGCTCATAATGTTATAGGACAAAAAATAAAATTCAAAGGGGAATTTATAACAAATGTGACATTAAAGCCTTGAAATTAAGACTGTAATGAAAAATACAAATAACCTTTTTGGAACAGACTGGATGAAGCAGTTTAATTTATGGAACAGTCTGATCAGTTCATTTTGCCAAGAAGTTAAAGGTTTTACCAACAAAGCAGAAAGTTTGAAAAAAAGAGTTAAAAAATTAAATTTATTAATTTTCTGGTGGGTTAGGCAGGTGCAAGAAAATGAAAGCTAAATTCAAGCTAAAAGGAAATGTACAACCAGTTTTCAAAAAGAAAAAGGAATGTAACCTTTGCATCATTAAAACAGATTGATGACTAATTTGACAGACTCAAAAAAAAAAATGGGTGTTTTATCTACGATGGAATATAGCAATTGGGCTTCACCAATGGTATATATAAAGACAAAGTCTAAAGAGATACATGTCTGTGCAGATTTCCCCATGGGCTAAAACGATGCCCTCAAAAGTTATCCTTACCCACTTCTGAAGTCGGAAGAGGTTTTTGCACAACTTAACAGGGGTCAAATATTTTCAAAAATCGACCTATGTGACACATCTGCAGATTGTAGTGGATGACAAATGTTCAAAAGTATTTATATTAACTACCATCAAGGAATGTATAAATTTAATCATTTGGCTTTTGGAATAAGCATTGCTCAAGCTATTTTTCAGCAAGTAATGGATACGATGCTTAGCAGACTTGACTTTGCAATGGCTTATCTTGATATTTTGCTAAAAAGTGGAAACCCAAAAGAACACAAGAAAAATGTTTGAGGTTTTCAGAAGGATTCAAGATGAAAGTCGAAAAGTGTGAATTTTTTATGGATAAAATCAAATATTTGGAACAAATAATTGACAAGAATGGCAGGAGACTAGATCCAGCAAGAACCAGTGGCTATAAAAGACATGCCTGCTCCTGATAATGTCAGCTCCCCACAAAGTTTCCTGGGTTTGGCAAGTTATTACAATGTATTTGTGCCAAACATGCACTGTTTGCGAGCTCTGTTAAGTGAACTATTAAAAAATAACTAAATGGGTTTGGACAATGGTGTGACAGGAGACATTTGGAAAAATTAAAGAAATGCTAATGTTGGATTTGTTTTTGACACATTATGATCCAAAAGAACAAATAATCATAGAAACCAATGCTAGTGTATACAGAATAGGAGCCTGCATTATGCATAAACTTGAAGACAACTCGATTAAAGCTGTTGTGCACACATCCAGGACACTACTTCCAGCCAAAGAGAATTATTCTGTGATAGAAAAGGAGAGTTTAAGGATTGTGTTTGCCATTAAGAAATTTCAGAGATTCATTCACAAGAGAAAGTTTACCTTACAAATGGATCTCAGATCATTGTTAGCTATTTATGAGTCCAAAAAAGGACTACCGACATCTTACAGCTAATAGGTTACAACAACTGGGAACCATTCTATTAAATAATGGATTTCAGAATGGAATTCTTACCATTGAGTAAATTGAGTCATGCTGACTGATTGTCCAGACTTATTCCAAGAAATAGTGAACCTTTGGGAGACACTGTCATTGCTTCTCTAAAAGCAGAAGTAGAGATAAAAAAAATGTTCTATGCAATACTGTGCGGTAAACACCTATGATTTTTGGAAGAAATAAAAAGTAAAGCGTTGGATGACAATTTTATTGTGGACATGAAGAAAAAAAACTAAAAAGATAGGAGTAAAACACAATCCGAGGCATATTCAATTTGCAATGACGTTCTCATGTACAGCGAAAGAGTGGTGGTACCTTCATCACTACAGAAACGAATCCTGAAAGAATTCTACACAGGACACCCTGGTATATCCAGAATGAAAAGCTTAATGAAAAGTTATGTGTACTGGCATAGCATGGATAGAGACATCAAATGTTTGGTAAAGTCATACAAAGGCTGTGCTTTGGCAGTTAAAGCACCATCAATAAAATTCAATCCATGGCCAGAAACTGACCGCCCATGGTCACGTCTGCATATTGACTTTGCTGGTCCACTTAATAGGTCATTATTTGATAGTCATAGAGTTTTTCCAAATGACCAGAGATATTGAGATGTAAGAAACCAACCACGGAAGTGATAATTGGGCTTCTACACAAACTGTTCATGAGGTTTGGGGTACCACATTCTATTGTTTCAGATAACGGCACTGAAATTACATTGAAAGAATCCAAGGAATTTTGTAAAATGTTTGTGGTAGAGTGCATAACAATTGCCCCTTACCACCCTAGAAGTAACAGCCAGGCAGATTGTTTTGTGAATACCTTTAAGAGGTCTCTAAAAAAATCCAACAGTGGATCCACAGATGCAGCATTGCAACAATTTCTACAGGTATATTGGCTTACACCAAATAAAAATGCGCCTTTGGCCATGACTCCAGCAGACATCATGCATGTGCGAAAAATAAGATCAGTTTTTGACAAGCTGATACTCAATAAGAAAAAACTTGAACATATGGTACACAAAGCTGGAAATAAATTTTACGAAGTTGGTCAAAAGGTTTTTTACCGGATGTATCAGACAGGTAAAAGATATTGGAAAGTTGGAACTATCATCCAAAGAATCAGTAGGATGGTATATTTACTCAAATGCCTGCCAGAAATGGTGCACAAAAGGCACTATAATCAAATAAAAAGTAGGCATATAATAAATAAAGAGAATGATACATAAGATCAACCTCCACTAGAGTAAGTTCTTTGACACATTCAATGTACGCATTCCTCAGAAATCTCCTGTGAAAAAGACAAAGAGGAAAAGAATGGATACAGAGAGAATTGAAATCAACCATGAAAAAGGAAAAGATATTGACTCTGTGCAAAGTAAATCTAAAAAGGGTTGGTGTTATATCATACCTATGGACTGTAAAGGGTATGTCCCAATCCTCACAATGGAATATACAGTCTGGTGGGGCGGGGGGTTTGGGATTCACCACTGGTAGTGGATTACTTACTACCCACCACTGGCAAATCTTGTATGTTGTTAATGTTATAAAGATTACCATTCCATTTCCAACCTTCATTTTGGTTATTCTTATTCAGTAACTATTTCTCGTTTACAACAAGAACCAATCTTCAGAAATGGAGATATGCTACCAATGTTGATCCCAACTGCCAAATGCAGGCAATCACAAACTATGGAACATCTTCTAGTTTGCCCCAATCTTGATGATTCATACACAACATTAAAACCTTAACACCTCAAGGCAAGGCTGTGTGTGCAATACTGAATAGGTCTGATGTAGCAACTTATAAGAAGATTCATATAATAGTTGAACTAATGTCCATTAGTCATTTGTAATTCAACCTTTTATAATTCAAATGGTATATATAATTAAAAATAAAATTTTAAGTTTAATTTGAGCATTATATGACAAATTACTGTTAAGATATATAAGCACAAATAAGTAGTGACTGACAATTTGTCTTAATATGTTTTGTGTGAGTGTGTGCTTTAGTGAATCTGAGTATATATATATATATATATATATATAGTGTAATCCTATGTCTATGTGGACAGATCCTCATATAAAAAGATATGTATATATTGATAAGACTTTAATAATGAAGTTGCTACAGAGTACAAATGCCTGCCAGCAAGCACCTATTATACACTGTCTATTAAACAACAACAAAGAAAACTTCCCTGAAGGCATAAAATCACAAATGTATCAATACCTGCACCACTTCAACAGACAATAAGAAAATTAAGAAAGAAATTAATCCAATTTTTAATGCCTGCAAATTATATTGACAGCTGCTGACTCAAAGCTCAACAATTCCTTTCATCTCAACATCTTACACTCCAATGAATGACAGGTTCTACATAGAGGAAAAAGTTACAAAATAATCACAAGTTAGCACTAAAAATAAGCAAATTCACACAAAAGTAGTCCCGTATAAAAATGGGGGGGGGATACGTGATCATTTAAATCTGTCTGTGTAAACATATATGTGTGTGTGTGTGTGTGTGTGTGAGAGGCATGATGGAGTAATGGATAGCAGCTCAGATGGAGGAATCGGAAAGCCAAGTTCAAATTCCAGTTGAATCCATTACATTCACTCTTGTGCTAATACCCTTGGGAAAGGTGTGAATCCTCTTCATCCAGCTATGGTTCTATAGCTTTGGATGGCAACTGGTCTACTACAGAAAGAAATGACAACCTACTGTGGGGAAAGAATCTGCCTCATCAGTCATGTATCGAAAGATACATGATCGCCCTAAGTGTGAATCACATATGGCACATAACTGACTGATATATATATATATATATATATATATATATATATATATTGAAGTATACAGAGTTAACCAATGTAAAGAAACTCTGTAAATATTAACTGAAGGTCTATGAAATCTGATTCAAAATTTCAGTATTAATATCCCAAACCAACCGCTTTCCAAATGTGCCTGCTGATTTTAAGGGGCCAGCTAAATCTCTAGGACTAGAATGACAGCAGCTGCAGAAATGAATTGGTTGACATTGTGGAATGTAGATATGGGTTGTCTTGAGAGTTTGGCATATGATAAAAATAGTTATCATCTGAGAGAGAGAGAGAAAGAGAGATAGGAATTTCACAGAAAGGTGACATTGCTATGACAAACAAGAACACCTACCAATAACTACATTGCATATACAGAGAAAAGGAGAGACCCCCCCTTAACAGTGACAGGATAAAGAAATAAATGTTTCAGTTTGTTTAAAGCTCCTGATTTCTGAGAATTTATTTACACTTGTTGGTTTCTCTTTTATGAGCAATCTTCACTCACATTACAGTGCAAGTTTTTTTTTTTCCTAAATCACACTCAAATTTAGCAAAAATAATTTTTTAAATTTCTATATTTTATTCAAATTCAAAAATCTCAAACTTCTAGAAAATAGAATGAATACAATTTCATCAGGTTTGCTAATCAAAACAAAATAGAACGGATAATAGGCAAAAGTGATTTATCAAAGTAAACAATTTCCCAATAAGTGCTCACATTTTTCCTCTTTGTTCCTGTCAAAAAACACTAAGAAATACTTCCAGTTTCATTATTATCTTATCTGCAACAAAAAGATCAAAGTCAACATAGATTGAAACTCTTGCAAATCAATGCCTCTTGTAGTTCAAGCAGTAAAGCAGCTATGACAATAAGAGGATGAAAGTTCAAATCCTGCTGAGAACTAATTTATTCTTTCAAATTCACACTTTTTACTAACAGTTGAATAATAAATGGTTTAAGTAGTTTGTAATAAAAAGCAACAAATTAGGATGAAAGCAATACTAGTCAAAAATAATGATTAACTGAATATTAACCTCTGTAGCTTATGCTTTTATTTCACTAATAATCATTATACTTTTCATTAATACAGGAACTTATGTATAAAGCAAGATTTGATTTACTTGAGAAAAAAAAAATCCTACATAGGAGAAAATCTTGAATATCTTAACACTAAAAATATATTTTAGCCACTGTGAGGAAATATATTTTTTCATTTTTGGTTGTTGTTATGATGTTGATTTGGGGTTAGTAAAGACAAACGCCAAATAACACATAACAATAAAAAGGGGTTTATTAGATTTGTAAGTAGGTACAGAAATCGTCTGAGTAGTCTATAATTAGCTCAGCCAAGAACTTCTCCGACTCTGTCTTTTGACATGCCACTATTTAACGTCTTTGTTTGTAGACAAGTTCATCTTCAAGAGGGGTGGTAGGTTTCCTACACAACACCTCCCTCTTGAGATTAATTCCGGAGGAATTAATATCTTTCCCTTTTGGGATCTGGACTTAAACGTTCCACCCTCGTTCTTTTTCTTTTGCTTGTCCTTCTTTGGACAACTGTTTCAGGCAATGGTGGAGTTGGTATATCAAATAAATCATATAATACCTCCATTGGTTCTTCCTTTTCTTTACTCATTTCTTCAATGTTTCTTCTCCTTAATTGGTTCAAATGTCTTTTGTGTGTCCATTTTTTACTTCTTATCATGTACAACATTTTACCAATTCTTTGCGTTACCACTCCATCTTACCAAAATTCCTTCCCATTTTTGTAATTTTAAAAAAAAACTATCTCCCGGCCTGAAATATTTCATATTTTCCTGATGCGTTTTGTTCTGGTAACTCTTTTTTCTTTCCGGTAGCAGCCTATTGAACACAGATCTAATTTTTCTAGCAAACATCAGTTCAGCTGGAGACATCCCTGATATTGCGTTTGGATTTGGTGTTATTCTGTATATACTTAAAAACTGCTGTATATTACCATCATCTGTATTAGTACCATTTGCTTTTTTAAGGGCTCTCTTGAATGTATCAACAAACCATTCAGCCTGTCCATTTGACCTAGGATGGTACGGTGAAGTCATGATGTGGTCAATTCCCAGAGTCTTACAAAACATCTTAAATTCACTTCCTGTGAATTGAGTTCCATTGTCTGTGACAATTTTTTCTGGTACTCCAAACCGTGCAAACAGTTCTGTAAGAAAATCTTTTGTTACAGAAGCAGTTGGTCTTTTGCACTTAAAAATCCTCAGGCCACTTGGAATAGCTATCCACAACTATCAAGTAAAAATTACCATTCATGGGTCCAGCATAATCTATGTGGAGTCTGGTCCATGGAACATCTGTTTTTGGCCATGGTGTGTATTTTACTGGCAGTGCTTTCGCTGCCATTTGACACCCTCTACAAGTTTTAACTACCTGTTCAATGTCTTTGTCCATATTTGGCCAATAAACGTAACTTTCATACGTCCAATACCAGGATGCCCCTGATGAAATTCCTTCAAAATCCGCTTTTGTAGTACAACCGGTATCACGACCCTTCCAGCATATAACAGCACTTCATCACATATTGAATATGCTGGTGAAGAAGTTTTATACTTTTCTGAAGTTACAACTTTCATTTTTTTAATAAAAATGTCATTTTCTGATTTTAATTTTATTTCATCTAATGTCATTAGATGAAATAAAATTAAAATTCTTTTACTGTAATTCTTTTACTGTGTTATACATTACTTCCACCAATTCATTTTCTGCTTGTAATGACGCTATCACCGTATCTTCTAGCGGTTCCAAAAACGTTGGGATCAGTCTAGATAAACCATCAGCATGGCTTTATTTTTTAGATGATAAAAATTCAATTTTGAAATTATAATTCAACAAAATGGTTCCCCATCGTTGCAAACGGTTTGCCGTATGAGTAGGTATACCCTTCTTCGAACCATAGATTGAAAGCAGCGGGTGATGGTCGGTCTGCAATATAAACCTTCTTCCATGTATGTACTTATGGAATTTTTTACAAGCATAGATGATAGCTAAGCTTTCTTTCTCAATTTGAGAGTACTTCTTTTCTGCGGGTAATAATGTCCTTGATGCATATGCCACTGGCTTTATTGCCGTCTCTGAATTTATGCAAAATTACCGCACCTATTCCGTGCTAAACTTGCATCCGATGCCACTATAATTTCCTGTTTAGGGTCATAATGTGTTAGTGATAATTCTGACGTCAAAATATTCTTTATTTTGTCAAACGCCTTCCAACAAACTTCTGACCATTCCCACTTTGCTCCCTTTTTAAGCAATTTATTTAATGGAGCCGTAAGGCTGCACAAATTAGGAATATATATCCCATAATAGTTAGTAAGTCCTAAGAACGCTTGTAACGTTACTACATTTTTTTGGGAGATGGCATGCTTTTGATCGCTTCTGCCCTCGCCGGATCTGGTCTTCTTCCATCAGAGTCTATTATCTGCTCCAAAAACTTAATTTCACTCATAAAAAATTCACATTTTTCAGCTGCAAGTTTGAATACATATTCTTCAATTTTTTCAAAAACCTTATTAATATGTTCCAAATGTTCATTTCGATCTTTACTTTTTATCAAAACATCATCAAGATATGCAATGGCGAAGTCCAACCCTGCCAGCACAGTGTCCATAATTTGCTGAAAAATACTAGGGGATACTTTCAAACCAAACGGCAAACGGTTAAATTTGTATAAACCCTTGTGTGTATTGATAGTCAACAATTTAGAACATTCTTCGTCCACTTTCACTTGGAGATAAGCATCTGATAAATCCAATTTAGAGAATATTTTTCCTCCACTTAAACTTGCAAAAATGTTTCTGGTGAAGGCAAAGGATATGTGTGGTCTTTTAAGCAATCATTTAGACCCGTAGAGAAATCTGCACACATCCGAATTTTATTATTCTTTTTCTTAACATATACAACAGGGCAGGCCCACTCTGAAAATTCAATGCATGAAATAACTCCTAAATTTTCAAGCTGTTCCAATTCTTTGTTAATCTGTTCCAAAACACCAAATGGCACATTTCTTTTTCGATTGAAAATAGGTTTTACATTTTCCTTCACTTCAAATTTTGCCTTCGCCTTTTTGCAACATCCAAGACCTTCTGAAAATACTTGTGGAAATTTTATTTTCAGATCTTTCAACAAATTTTCTGTAACCTGATTTTTACATCGAAAAGAAACATTAACTCTATTGCAAAAAGAATTTATAGGGAGTTCCCATAAACAGTATAATCCAATCTGTTCCAAACAAATTTGAAACATTTTGTAGCACATACACTTTAGACTTTAGTGTCTTACCAACAAATGAAATATTACAAGAAAATTCACCTTGAAAATGCAATTTTATTCCAGAAATCCCGCGAGCCACTTTTTCAGTCTTTTTAAGCAAAGGTCTGCCTATTTTAATCCATGTTGCTGTATTAATAATGGAAATATCACTTCCAGTGTCTAGCTGTAGTTTAACATTTTTTCCATTAATTTTTACCTGTAAGAATTTTCTTTTCTGCCCCTCCTCAATCTCCTGATGTGACAACACAATATTCACATCTTTTTTCGACTTAAATTTTTTTCTTTTGCTTTTACAATGAGTACTTATATGGCCTTTATTGCCACACGAATAGCACTTTTTGTCGTGAAAAAAACATTCACTTTTAAAATGACCACCACCGCATCCAAAGCACGTTGGTTTTTTAACGTTTTTATTAACTATTCCCTTTTTTGGTTGAATAGCATGGACACAGGATAAGTCTTTTTCTTCAATTTGCGTATTGTCATGTTTTAAATTTTCAATTCTTTGACATTCTTCCGTAACCTTCTGCAAAGTGATCTCGGAATCTTGTTCGAGTTTTGCCAATATTCGGGACCTTATGTCCTTATCTTTGCTAGAAGTCAAGCCTTGAACGAATATCAAACATTTAAATCGATCAATTGAAAGATCATGTAACATAAAATGTTCACACATTCTGTTAACATTTCCAGCATACGTAACAATATCCTCATCATCACGCTTTACCATATTCAAACACGAGAAACGAGTATGAAACAAACTAACTCGCCGCCAAAAAATACTAGATAAAGTATTAACAGTTTCTTGAAAGAAATGTCACTAGTTTTTTTCTTGGAAGGACAAAATTCGTATACTTATTATTTTCATCTGTACCCAACTTTTGTAAAAGTAAACTCACTTTTTGTTCATCAGTCCAACCTTCACATTTTTTTTCAAATATTGTTTCAAATCTGAAATACGCAGGAAATGTTATACCCTCCTCTGGGTTAAATTTGAACTTGGTAATAGAATTAG